ATTTTTTTTTACAGAACATATAATGCAGATAAAATGCTTGAAATGGTGTAATTACTTAGTTTGTCCAGCAGAGCGTGCTCCATTGTTTGCTACTGGCGACCTGGATGAAACGCTTTAAAGCTTAAGTCAATGGAAAACCATTGAAACTTTGAATGGCCATATCTCCGTAACGGCGCGGCAAATCCACACCAAATTCGGGGGATCCCTTCATCTCGAGGAACCCCCTCGAACGCGAATCAAGTGTACGTCTCGATGCCCTCTTTCGAATGAGACCACCCCCGCGTGGATAGCCCCCGAGGTTCGGGAGTTACAGGTGGTTAAATTCACGGTCCGGCGCCGACCGATCAAGCGATCCCGGGGGGCTACCGACGCGCGGAGGGTGGCGTTCGAGAGGGCTCCTCAAGCTGAAGGGATCCCCCGAATTTGGTGGAGATCCGCCGGCGCGTTCATGAGATAGTGACACCAGCCAACACTTTCCCTTCAGTAAGGAGGTTTCTTGTTCAGGCAGCATTCACGCGTTGTCTTATTCGACCGTAAGTGCCCTGCGAAGTGGACTTAACATGATATTCCGCCATGATTCCAGATCCAAGGGAACGTACACATTACATTCAAAGAGCATTAAAGTGCATGAGCCGTGAATTTATTTACAGAGGTAGGGGAGAGCGGGGCACAAAGTAACACTTTTTGACTTTCTCAGTTTGTGTAAATCCACAAAAACTGAGATAAAAAATGTACTTAAGACAGAATTTTAATTTTACTACGGTAAAATAAATATTCAAACCACATGTTACAACTAAACCCTCGTTACTTTGTGCATCGTACTCCCCTATATTATGTCACACTTCACACTTCTCTAGTAAGTTTCGTCTGTGTGTGAAGACAGTAGAGCAAATCAGTGAATGAATGTTCCGAAGTGAAATAAACTTCAACGGAATAAAGTTGAATGGAATTTAATTGAATCGAAATAAAGTTGAATAAACTTCAACTTTACTGTTCAGTGCACTGATGTCAGACTCATTTTGGATAGTAAAGTGTATTGTTAAATTGTTAAATGCCCTTACATATCTCTGTCACCATTATAAGTGTTTGATCACCACATTTGAGAGATCATTGCAAAAAATGTGTTCATGTATATACTGTATTCTATATATAGTACCAGTCAAATGTTTGGACACATGAATGGGAAAGTGTCCAAACTTTTGACTGGTACTGTACTATAATATGCACAAAGAATATCGGCCGATATATCGGTATCGGCCTTTTTTACTCCCTAATATCGGTATCGGCCCCAAAAAAAACATATCGGTCGGGCTCTAGTAATTACAACGATCAAGGTCCAGAAACTTAGTAAGGAGATCGGTAAAATAGTCCGTGTGACATCAGGGGTTCAACCGTAATTTTATGAAGCTAAAAGAATACTTTTTTGTGTGCAAAGAAAACAATGATAACAATTTATTCAACAATTCTTCTCCCTGAGTTACCATCTTCCACTATTTTGGAGAGTACCCCAGAACATAATCAGCGCTGTTTAATTTCAGCATGCATGCCCTGTCTACTGAACGTAAACAACGCGGATTACGATGATTAAATATTAATATTTTTATCATTTTTTACATTTAAAGATTTGTAATGTCTTTTTAATTAAATATTTTTAACACGTTAAACTGGAAAAATTAATCGCTATATATATATTAGTGCTATGGCCCTACTATAAGGCAAAACAGCTATTAGACATTTTATAATCTACTTGAATGTGTAAAACAGTGGTAGGAGAAATCACCCTATACTTTATATTTTCACAGCACAACACAGCCTCTATTCTTCATACCGCCTCATAATCCATCAGTGCTGATATGAAGACAGGGTGTGCTATTCAAATTATGTAATTAACATACCCGCAGACCTATTACCCCATAAATGTAGTGCTTAATACGAAGACTATATTCTCAGTATTCATGTTCATATCCACACTGGAAACTGAAATATCCAACCCCGCGAGAGCTCACCTGACGTAGTCGCTGCTCTTCTTGTTGACACTGTAGTTGGTCAGATGCATGAACTGGTTCTTGATGTTTGCCGTGGCGTGGTCATACTTCACCGTGGCAAACCTACAACACACACAAGCAAGAAAGAATAAATGAGCTTAATAGCGAGTATGACATTGAACTGACCTGCTGAAAAGAATAAATAGGTACTGTACCAAAGCAAGCAGCCTTGTGCAAACATGGCACGACCATCACAAATCCAGCCACAAATCTTTTTAATATTAATATGACACATAAACAGAGAGGTTTTGCAACAGCCATCCAACTAAAACTAGCAAAATCACACAACTACAACAGCAGCGCTGTAATGGGATGACGTTTTATTTTAGAACATAAAATACATTATACCCCCTTTTGATAGTATATAGAGGAACAGTCTTGTGAAGGCAAAAGCTGCATGTTTGTAAGAAACAAATCCATCATTAAGATGTTTTTAACTTCAAACTGTTGCTTCCGGCTAAAATACAAGTTCATGATTAATAATAACGCTTCCTCTTACATCAAAATCCAGCCATATATTTGTTAAGAGCTGTTTTGAACCGTCTTGGCTTGTAAACGGAGCTTGATTTGTGTAGATTTCTCTCCTGATTCAGACCAGACAACTGAAGAAAATAATATTATGGATTATAGACTCGTATTTTAGTTAAAAAGGTCTTAATGCTGGATTTGTGTCTACGTTAATTGATTTGTGAGACATTAACTGATGGACTGGAGTGGTGTTGATTATTGTGATGTGTTTATCAGCTGTTTGGACTCTCATTCTGACGGCACCCATTCACTGCAGAGCATCCATTGCTGAGACACTGATGCAGTGCTACATTTCTCCAAATCTGATGAAGAACAAACTCATCCTAATCTTGGATGACCTGAGGATGAGCACTTTTTCAACAGATTTTCATTTTTGGGGGAAGCTTTTTCTTGTCTTGAAGAAAGCATTGCTAACAAGTGTCTAAATGGGAGTACAGAGGTTGTCAGGATTATAAATGTCATCAGACAAAAGGCAAACTCATTTAATCGCTAGTCATATGATGAACAAGATGTTTAAGAATCATACTTCTGCAGTAATCCAAAATCCGATATTGGGTTTTTGTTGAAGGAACCAGGATGATGCTAAATTACAGGTTGGCCTACAAAACACATTATCACTGCAGCGCTCTACACTGATGCTGCATATAATGTTTCCGTCATGAAGTCCACTAACTAATCTGTTTCTTCTCCTCATCAACTGCACATGATGGTACAGTGACAATACTGCATAATCACAAACAATTTTAGAACTGTAATCTGAGTGATTTGTCCTAAAGCTCATGGTATTCCAAGAATAATGTGGAGGAAGAATTTTTTTTTAGATAAAAGTTGAGTTGGGAAAAGCACCAGGAGTTCATAAGAGAGTGTGCAGAAAACAAACCTAAGCCTAATAGAGGTAGGCCAAGCGTTTTACACACACCAGACCACAGCGGCCCACAATACACCGCACATCCACTTCACACGGCATCCAAAAAATCAGAGGATTTGTTTGAGCTTCTCACTCGCATGTCTGAGAAAACGCTCTCCTCGCTGTGCCAAAAGCAGGACACCATGTGTATATCTAGATTGAATGCGTTTCACAGGCACTCAACGCAGGGTTACGGCTGTCGGAGCGATTGTGAGCAGTCAGAAATAGTTCCCACTACTATTCGTGGCTTATCTAAAAATATCATAAAAAGGAGCCTCTTCAGGTAAAAAAGACAATTATGTAAGCCTGAGTACTTGCTGCCTTGAAAAAGTTTTTTTAAACGGTCACATTTTCTTGGTGCTTTAAATGTTAAAAAAAAAAACTATAAAAAAAAAACTAGTCAATGTCCTTCCAGCAATGAGACAATGGAAAGCTTTGTTTGAGGCCTAGATGAGCCGGTCCAACTTTACTGGAAACATTTCTGCTGCCATCTAGTGCCTGTGCTATTTCAGTGTCTTAGAGGAATATTTCTGGTTATGTAGAAGTTGCTGTTGCTGATATTTAAATGATGAAATTCTGATGCTTGTGATGTAAATCAGTGAGATGTTTATAACAGTGCAGCAGATGCTGACATAAAGTGATCTAAATATCAGTCATCTCTATATCTCCAGTAATCTGTCTCAGTAAGATGAGATTGAAATGCTCCAAACATATAATGCAGTGATTGAGAGCTGAAGAAAAGGGTTACGGCTGTCGGAGCGATTGTGAGCAGTCAGAAATAGTTCCCACTACTATTCGTGGCTTATCTAAAAATATCATAAAAAGGAGCCTCTTCAGGTAAAAAAGACAATTATGTAAGCCTGAGTACTTGCTGCCTTGAAAAAGTTTTTTTAAACGGTCACATTTTCTTGGTGCTTTAAATGTTAAAAAAAAAAAACTATAAAAAAAAAACTCGTCAATGTCCTTCCAGCAATGAGACAATGGAAAGCTTTGTTTGAGGCCTAGATGAGCCGGTCCAACTTTACTGGAAACATTTCTGCTGCCATCTAGTGCCTGTGCTATTTCAGTGTCTTAGAGGAATATTTCTGGTTATGTAGAAGTTGCTGTTGCTGATATTTAAATGATGAAATTCTGATGCTTGTGATGTAAATCAGTGAGATGTTTATAACAGTGCAGCAGATGCTGACATAAAGTGATCTAAATATCAGTCATCTCTATATCTCCAGTAATCTGTCTCAGTGAGATGAGATTGAAATGATCCAAACATATAATGCAATGCAATCCAATACTGATTGAGAGATGAAGAAATAAAGGCTCCTCAGAAGCCTGATGATCACATTTGAACATGATTTTTCTAAAAAAAATATTCATTTCACAGCAAAAAGACACTGAACCAATTATACTACAAGGCCTTTTACTTGCTAAAAAAAGAGTCTAAACTTCAGACTCTGGATGATGAATGAATTACCTGGCAAGACCTTCCTCATAGAGATAGATCAGGAGAGGGTCATATGAGGTCACCAGCACATACAGACGCACGTCAAACTTAAAACCTGCAGATGTACAAAAGAAACACAATTTAAAAACATGCGTTATGCAGACTGTGTTAAATCTGCTGGTGTCAGTGTGGTATACTTACCGTCAATTAGCAGAGGATTGCTGATGTAGCGCGACACCAGAATATTCTCGTCCAGTGGGATCTGACTCGGCTGAAACACCAAACATGTGTTATCAAGCAGCACTGAACAAAACTGTCAGATTACAGAAACATGATAAACACTCTTTCAGATAGGAATGTAGACTCATATTTTGGTCAAGTATCTATCTAGACAGCATTTTTGGGCATCAGAGGCACATTGATGTGAACATCAGAAAAGCATGCTTAAAAATGCTCCCTGTCCGCTGCATATGAAAATAGAAGTTTACGTAATTCATTTGTATTGGGACTACATAAATCTTTTTTGCATTAAATTTTTAGCTCTCCTGCATGATTCGCAATGGACTGAAGCAGGAGAGCGAATGTTGAAATTAAGTGTTATTTTCTGTACTTCTGAGTAAAGGAAAATACTTGTTAGTATTTAATGTTCAGTTATGTTGGATTTTTAGTTTTTGTGGCTATCATTGTGTAGTAAAGCTTGTGGATAGGAACAAAGATTTATGGATTATGTTTTACGAGAAAATACTATTTCAGTCTTTCTACTTTCACATTTATTTCGATGTTACTTTTTAGTTTCTTTGTCACTTTTTCCAAAATGCACTAGCAATTTCTAAATAAAAATTGTTTCAAAGTAAAAATTTTCACATTCATATATTCCATCAGTGGCATTTTAATAATTCCTGGTCTATATATTCATGGTCACAGACTCAATATCTGGTCAGAACGGGCCTTAAGACGCTGTCAAGTTCATGTCATCGGCTCACGCCTTGCCTGTGAATGACATGTTATGTTGCCTTAAGCCTGCCTGTGATTTGCAGCGACATGATCTCATGCATTTTCTCAGATCTGGCCATGCAAGCAGCGCTGTACTGTTCGTGACACAACGTACATGTCTCCAGTGACACAACAAAACTGAGAAAACTTTACCTTTACGCAAATGGGCAAAAACAACTACCAATGGGAGTGAAGCCAGTGATCGATCTCCTGTCAGAGAATTTCAACCAGTCACCGTGTGTAGTTAAAATGAAACATTTTTAATATAAACTCATGGGAAATTGTGTGTTCTCCTTAGTAATCAAACTAAGCCCTGTCCAGTCTATAGTATTGTGGGAAATAGATTAATTTTCACATCAGAAACACATCTATGATGCCTTAAAATGCTGCCTACATAGGCAATCTTTGAAACAGAGTCACTTGTGCATGCTCCAGATGAGTTTTATCACGTCATGTTCCCTTGATCACTTACACTGCTGACTAGATAGATGCCTCTGCCCCTGGAGGACGCCACTGGTTTGATGATCCACGCACCCTTGTCTTTGCTGAAGGAGCCTGAGGTTTGCGTGAGGACAGAGAGAGTGTTATGAAAGCCCAGCAGCGAAAGCAGACACATTTTTCTAATTGATGTTGTTTATGTTAATAGCCAAACACATGTCCGAGTGCTGATTGGACGAGGTGCCCACTCACTGCTGAATTCCTGGAACTCTGCAGGAAGCACAAAGGTCTGGGGTACGATGTGGAAGTTTTGCAAGCCGTGGGTTTGCTGCATCCTCTGGATGTTTTTGTAGAGCCGGTCTTTCCGCGTGAGCTCGTACGACCTGGAAAGCGACGGGAGCGTTGACCGTAAGTGCCTAGGATGAGGTTAGCATCTGAGATAGCGAGGGGAACATAAACCCTTGAAATAACACCGCAGCGGCAGCACACGGTCAGCTTGATCTATTGCGCCGTTTAAGAGAGGCAGGCGTCCAAACAAAATGTACTCGGCTCAAACTGCCAATGAATACATGCCGTCTGCCCACTTGGAAGGCTGGAAGTGTGGACGTTGTTGTTGCTAAATGAGAATGTGTGTGACTTTGGTAACTTGTTGTCATTGTGGGATACACACGGCACACCACAGACTAGTGTTTGGTTGAACACCAACAACATTCAGGTGAAAGAAATGTTCCATAAATCACAGGTGCGCCCAACACAGAGGCGATCCCAGAATGCACTGCTCCTTGAAAATGTGAGAACGTGAGAAAATGCTGATATATCCAACATTTGTTTGTGCTGTCTACGACTCGGCAACAAAAATTATTAATCATAATTTTGATGAACAATTGACACATAGATTCTTAAATCCCAAGAATTGACACAAGCTACTATCAAATGTGCATTTCTAAGAGACAAAAAAAGTTATATTATTAATATTATCAGGCAACCCAAACCTGTTTCTTGATTTGAAACAATATCACTCATTAGAACATGCAGATAGGCCTGTCACGATAACAACTTTTTGTTGTGCGATATATTGCCCCAGAAATAATTGCGATAAGCGATATTATTGTCATTTTAAAGACCATTTCATGCCACTGAATATAAAATCATAATGTAACAGCATGATATGCAAGAAGGCCTACACGCTTTCAAATGACAACAAACTTTAAATTTTTAAGAATATTTAGATCGTGGAAATTAAGTATCAAAATATTAGATACCTTAAAAAACTTGAATAAATAGTAAATAAACTTTTTCTAACAAAATTTGCAAAGTAACAAGTAGAAAAAAAGAAAAATGCACAAAGAACGTGTATGGAGATTTTTACATCTACAGATTTATCCCGGACCTTCTTTCTCTGTAAATGAAGGGTGCACACTATTGCTGAAAAACACAATCACTACTCAGCAGTCAGATGTCCGTACGCACCAAGACACAGATCCCTAAACAAGACCATATCTGCAGATTCAACTTTGTTTGTAGAAGATTTTTTTAATTTGAACTAGCTCCTCATGACTACACCACGTTATGTTTGAGAAGCTGCAAAAAGACACCGGCGCAAGTGGAATGTAGTAAACATGGTGACATTAATAAAATGTGTGATATATTGCGTCACCAAAAATGATTGAGGTCATGTACATATATTGCGCGATAAGTCGATATGTTGATTATTGCGACAGGCCTACATGCAGAAACTAAGAAATACATTTTTCTATTTAGATATTTATTTTGTTAAGGGAAATTAGTGGTCTGGTTTCTACAACTTTCTATTTGGAGCAAAAACCTGGCTTTAAACCTGAAAGAAAAAAAGATCTGACATTTATCGTGATAATTATCGATATCGACTGATATGAAAAAAATGGGCATTACTGCATTACTGCCCTACTGAAATGTATCATGTTTTGTGTAATCATCAATCAGTCTTTCAAACGCAGAGAGACGTCAATAAAACAATTGTAAACAATTTAATTTAATGTTACATTTATCTCAGGAAAGCATTCAATGACCATAAACTTGTTTGTCAACTAAATAGATGTACTATATTACATTATCTGTTAAAGAGGTCTCATTTAATGCATGTTTGAATAAATCCATGGAAAAAGGTTTTTTTTATTATGTTCCTGTGGCTCAGTGGTAGAGCATTGCTTTAGCAGCGCAAAAGGTCGTGGGTTCGATTCCCAGGAAACACACATACTGGTAAAAATATGTATAGCCTGAATGCACTGTAAGTAGTGCTGGGCGGTATACCGGTTCATACCGAACACCGATGTTTATTTTTGTTATGATATGAATTTTGAAAATACCGCAATACCGGTGTATGTCGCTTAAACAACGTTGGGAACGCGCCACTGTTCAAAAGGGGTCCCTTTTCACTGCTGCACTGTGGTGAGGGAACAGCTGTATGTGTTACCAAGCGTGAAAGCTCAGAAACTGAAGCTGTAGAACTAATAGAACGTGATGACACAGAAGAACTCATCCACAATATCCACACTGACCTCCACAAATATCCAGCGCCCGCTGCCATCAGCTCCCGCGTCTCACACACACGAGCGCCACTTTAGCACTAGATTTAGCCACTTTCAGACCCTTTTAGCGGCTTTCTTCCATAGAATATTCATACTGACAAACCTAGCGACTTTTCTGGATAAAGCTTAGCTATGGTTCAGTTGGAGGATTTCTCCAGTGCTGTCCCGCGAGCGCGAGGTCTGGCTTTCCCGGAGAAGTGTCGCCTCTCTCGGCGTCTGTTCTGTGCAGCGAGCAGCAGAGAAGCACTGCAGCCGACTCCTCAATAAATGAGTACAGCGTTTCCTAGCACCTGTCGCTTACTGGTGGTTTGAAATTATAAATATGAGCGTAGTTCGTCTGTTAATATCACATGCACTTTTTTTTTTTTTAGTCACTCAGATGCAGGCAGTGCTGCATGAGACAAAAAAGTAATATAACCGCGTAGCCGCTCTTTAGTGTAGATGCATGCTGATTTTACCAGACGATGCCGTGATTATAAATGAGAGACTCCTGGTTAACATGTATTAAAAGGGGTCGTGTTTAGTCACTATTTAGTGGTATTTTTTGACAATATTCACTCATCATGACAGTAAAATAGGGCATTCTAAGTCAATATACTGCAGTATTTCCTCTCAATCAGTAGAAAATATGGTTAACACCCGGTCATGCATGAAAAAAAAATACCGTCATGTACCGTGAAACCGGTATAATTGAAACCGCCCAGCACTAACTGTAAGTCGCTTTGGATAAAAGCGTCTGCTAAATGCATAAATTATTATTAAATTATTGATTTTTTAATTAATATTACAGCCACAATTTAAAATATTAGAGTAGACACATAATTATATCATTTAAAAGTTGATATTAAAAACCACCTTATGTCCAATTTAATGGCTAACTAGCCCATTGAAATAGTGTTCGATGTGTGAACACTACATTCGACATAGTGTCATTGAAATAAACTGTGAATCATATAACATGCAGACTTGCCCGTTTCATGTGGGATCCAGCCTCAGAAGGAAGCTGCCGATGCAGACAGCAAGACCGCTCTCTAATGACAGACTCACCTGGGAAAGTGGTTGACTTTCTGGAAATCCTGCAGAGAGCGCAGAAGGTAGGGCTTCAGGTGTGAGCCGGTCCACATCAGGTTAAAATCATTGCTATTTGGGTGCACCTAAACATAGAAACTATCTTATTTTAGGCCAGGGTAATGTCAGAAATGAAAAAGATACAGTAGAGTCCCAAAGTTGTTCTACAGTTATTTTCATTGCTCTTACATTATTGTATTGAGCCCCTTTTATAAACACTAACCATTGTATTACAGCTTATTCTGAAGAAGCTGAATTGTAGCTTAATATTTGTGTTTCTAAAATGAACTGAACTGTGCCAGTGTACAAGTGCACTGTGTGGAATCCCATAATGCAATGCACTTGACTTCAACACCAATTTCCAGTGGGCCAAATAAACCATAAGTCATATCAGATGTTATTTTAAACCTCTTTTTCATGAATTATTTTTTTTCTTTAATTATGGTATTCTAAAACTATATTAAATGCAAAATAATAATTTACACTATACACAAGATGAAACTCCTCCATTGCATTAATTTGGGCAGCAAACAGTGTATGCTAGCATTTCATTTCAAACAATGTCTATGCTCTACCTCGTGGAATCCATGATTGACCAGCATGCCACGAACAAGACGGCTCTCCGTACACACAATCTTGAAGGCCAAGTTATATTTTTCTATTTTAAAAAAACAGTAAGAAAAACCCATCAGAATTACCACTTCAAGAATTGAGGTCCCACTACAATGCCACATAGCTAACAGCACATTTATAAAAGCAGATTCTAGATATTAAATAACACAAGACATGCTATTTATATATACAATTATTTGTTACTAGAAAGAAGTAAATATTTTAATATTTGTTGCGAGTACAACAAGATAAGAATTACTATACACAAATAATGTAAAAAAAAATTTTTAAATCTCGTTGTCTACATGTGTCCCTGCAGCACAAAAGCAGTGTTAAGTCGCTGGGGTATATTTATAGTAATAGCCAAAAATACATTGTATGGGTCACAATTATGCCAAAAATCATTAGGATATTAAGTAAAGATCATGTTCCATCAAGATATTTTGTACATTTCCTACCGTAAATATATTAAAACTTAATGTTTGATTAGTAATATGCATTGCTAAGAACTTCATTTGAACAACTTTAAAGATGATTTTCTCAATATTTAGATTTTTTTGCACCCTCAGATTCCAGATTTTCAAATAGTTGTATCTCGGCCAAATATTGTCCTATCCTAACAAACCATACATCAATGGAAAGATTATTTATTCAGCTTTCAGATGACATATAAATCTCAATTTTGAAAAATTGACACTTTTTTTGTGGTCCAGGGTCACATATAAACAGTACTAAACTAATGTATTCTACATATAGAAAAAACAGTAATGAAAGTACTGATGTAATTACTGATTAGATTTCTCTGTTGTGTACCTATGCAGAATTAGTTTGAGCTGCAATTTAATAAATTCTTCTTTATCAAGCATACAAGATTTAGATTTTTACACATACTGGTAAAAAGAAATGTATAGCCTGAATGCACTGTAAGACACTTTGGATAAAAGCGTCTGCTAAATGCATAAATGTAAATGTAAGATTTCTCAGTGTCTGTACCTCCAACAGAGCGGATGACCACATCTTTGGACACAACGGCTTCTGCACAGAAGAGCAGCACGGGAATCCGCTTGCTGACACCACTCCAGGCAATGCACGGAGGTTTCCTATCACAACAAGTGTTAACGCAAAGAGAGATCTGCTATTTCCTCTGTCAGATGAATTTCACATTTACATGTTGAGATATTACCAAAGTCCCTTTCAAGGAAAGTCAGTTCTCTCGCCGGCCATACTGTCAAACTGCATGCCAAACTCGCATTTAAACAGCATCTCATTCATGTACAATTTCTTACACTCAAATTTATTTCAGTTCTAACGGCAATGACTTTGCCAATTGATGATTGGCTCTTTAATTTAGAAGGCTGGACTTCCTTTTACTAGAGCCGCTATACTGCACAATGTAATAGATTTCCCTTTCGCTTTGTGAACCGTCTTGGTAATATACAGTCTAATATACAGTTTGCAAAGAGGTACACTGTTATACAGTGGGTACGGAAAGTATTCAGACCCCCTTAAATTTTCTATCATACATGACAGCAAGGCAAGGCATGTAATCATTATCCGCTCATGTTCAATCATCCAGACTATATAGCAGAACGAATCTAAATAAAAGACTGACTTTTCACTGAGTGTGTTTTTGCAGACAGATAACGCTACATCCTGACGTAACAAGACCAATCTCATGCATGTAATAAATTATCGAAATATCGCAAATGTACATATCGCTACAGCTTGCTTTATTTGAGGCCATGAACAAAAGACAAAGAGAAAATCACTCACTGCTCTTACCTAAATAACTTTTGTAGCTTAAATAAGAATCAGTGCATATTGAATTCAAAGAGTAAATACTACGCAGTGTTTTATTTTTCCTTTTTATTATTCAGTTCCTAAACTCATGTTAAAATGACATTTTTATGTAATGCTCGAGTAAAACACTACCGTTCACTTTCAGAAGTTGTTGTAGGGCTGCTTTCTTATTAGAATCAGAATCAGAATGAGCTTTATTCACCACTTAAGTGTGCGCAAACACGAGGAATGTGTTGTGGTTTTACAGGAACTCTTGGTACATACATACAAACATACAAATAACCATATACTGTATGACACAAGATAGTTATAGAAGTTCACAGAACTGACTCGGCAACAGCTGAGTAAAACCGTTTCATCTGAGCATGTGGCACTTTAAGCATTATCGTATCGCATATCGAATATCACATTATTTAATGAGTTATCACATATCGCATTTTTCTTCAATATCGCACAGCACTAAGTGTAACACAGTCTAAACCAGTCAAAGACTGATATATCAGTGAAGGCCTGGTTTCCCAAACAGCGACAGCTCTTTAGAAAGTTGTGCAAGAATATTTGCACCCTTTTTTATGAGCGTTTCTCCTCAAAAAAAAATCACTTAACATTCACAAAATGTTGAAATGTCACTCTGAAATTTAACTTTTTTCATTTGAAATGTATTTTATTTCATGCACTTATTATTTTTTTTATTACAGAATTAAAAAACCATGCACATCAAGTTGTGAAATTTAAGTAAAATGTGTTTATATAGCAATTTTTACAATACACATTGTTTCAAAGCAGCTTTACAAAAAAATCATAATGATAGTGTTTATAATGCCTTATGGTTGCATTGATCCGATTAGAACTGTGCAATAATATACTTACATTTTGCAACAATACAAGCAACCAAGCAGTTGAGACTTGCTATTTAGTACATTCGAGGCTGGATTTACAGTATTTACAGTAACTGTACAATTTAATATTAATTATTATTTTGTTAATTAATTCATGAGTTTTTGCTCAATTTAAAACTATTACAAAAATTATCCTGATATTAAAGTCATATTATAAACTGCATATTATTAAGTATCCTAGGTTTTATTAAGTTTAGACTAATTGCGTCCTGCAAGTGACTGTCTCTTTACAATGCTCTGGTCACTATACAAATACTCCAGAGCACTTGTAGATCTACAGCTTTTGAAAAACAGCCCATAATTCTTCTAATGTGATCAAATGATCATCTTTGCAATCTTCTTAATGGCACTATCATGTCTTGAGAATGTGGGTCATTAGACTGATACCCAGCAGCTGGTATAGAAAAAAAGTATGTTAACCTCCAAAAGAATTAAACAAGTTTTGGTTTTGGATCGCCAGACCTTTGTGTCACTCTGTAAAATATTCATGGTTGTGTCTTAATAACTTCACAGGGAGGCTGAAAACAGACGTGCAGAACGTCTAGACTATTTGAGGAGCGGCTGCTACTATTTAAGAACTGACTCGTCTATATTTAGTCCCGATAAGCTCTGTGAAATCATGACATCAGTCTGTATGCAGCTCCTGATGCTTGCTGTAGTTTTGTGTGTAATGATGGTAACGTGACTAGTCCTGCTCACTGATTAACTGAATGTAATCTCCATGATCAATACTCTTAAGCATTCTGCTTTAGTAAAGACACTTACTCCGCCTCATCTTCAGACGATGACTCGGATTCGTCCTTCTGTTCTCTCACGGCTGGCATCTCCGTCTGTGTGTGTGTGTGTGTGTGTGTGTGTGTGTGTGTGAGTGAGTGAGTGAGAGAGAGAGAGAGAGAGAGGAGGTGTGTGTGTGTGTGTGTGTGTGTGTGTGTCTGTCAGCTCAATGTGTGTGTGTGTGTCTGTCAGC